CTGTGGGCCGTCTCTGGCCAATACCTACTAGTAACGGCTGCTCCCTTCAGCGCCGTGCTATGTGCCTGGCCTCACCCTGACATTTGCAAGCATTGTAACCCTGTCTTACCTTCAGACTATTCTGGGATCCCCCCCATATGTGTGGGTATAAGAACCAGGGCTTAGAGACTAGCATGGTCACTAACAGTCACACGGCAAGTGGCAGGGACAGCAATCAAATCCTAACTCCCATGTCCGTGTTCTAAGGATGATGGTAAGAGCCCCATTCCCCGGGCTGAGTGTATTTTATGCATCATCCCTGGTGTCCTCACGCTCCCTGATGAAGTTTCTGTTATCCCCATGACACTGCTTCAGGAGGGAGACCACAGTCTTGTTTACTGTGCTGGAAAATGGTGTAGCGGTTACATCCCTGGACTCCTGCATGGCTGACCATGGTTCAAGTCCTGGACCCAGTGACTTGAAACACACCAGGCACATGCATGTGTGCCCAAGATCCCAGGAGGAGAATGGAGGAGAAGGGATTGCGGCATGGCCACTGGGGGAGTGAGTTTTCACTTTCCCTCTCACTGTCTCTGTTTCTCTCTCTCAAGAGTACATGCACCTTAAGGCAAAAATCTCTACCAAAAAAAAAATAGAATGACTAAAGCCTATTCTTGAGCCGTGGCACTCCCCAGCCTTCTGCACCTGGGCTCTGCCCTGGCCGTCCCACCCCTGCTGTAGGAGCTCGCCCTGGGTGCAGCTTCAGCCCACCTACTCTTGAGGCCCCTAGGCCGCTGCCTGCCTGCTTTCTTGTACCCTGGCTCCCCACCTCCCCCTCACACTCCCTTCCTCCCCCTACCAGGGACCTGGGTTCCCACAGACTGGGACCCAGTTACACTCACATTCTTGGATGCGAGGAAGGCCATGCCCTGGGCCACTTGGCTGGAGAAGTGGAGCAGGTCCCGGAGCTCTAGTGGCCGGCTGTCCTCCTTGTCCAGGTCTAGGGGAGAAGAGGCATCAGGGCAGCCCCACCATGCCCTAACCCTTCCTGGGTGCAGCCCCAGCCCCGTCAGCCCCCCTCTCCTTTCCTCTCCTCTCCGCTCCTGGTACCGCCTCACCTTGCTCAGAAAAGGAGTCGTTGGAAGACGTGGACACGGGCCTCATCTCCACATAGGTGTCCACACCCTGGCTGGAAAAGCCGCTGTCCCTACATAGGAAGGTTGGGAGGGAAGACGGTCAGACCCATCATGTGCTGCCCTCCTCACCCCTTAGCCTTCTACTGTGCCACAAGCTCCCCTGCCCGAGCCACTCAGCAGGGACAGAACGAGACCTTCATGTTACTCCAGCATCCCCTTTTCCTTTTTGATGAGAACCGCCCTGCCACGTTGTGAGTGATCAATGATCTCGGCCTGACCATTCCCAGTGGGGGAGCTCACAGCCCTCCTGTCTTGGGCAGCTCTGCCCGTTAGCCCTTCACTGCTCTTGGTGTCAATCTGGGGCTGACACCCGGGATTTTCCTCCTCTGGCCCTTGCTCTGCCCTCAAGATCCACAGCGCAGTTGTCACCTTCTTCCCCACATAAGCCCTGCCGGGCTTTGAGCATATTCAAGAGCCCCTTGTTTGAGTCCTCTCATAGACAGTGGCTCTGCTCCCTGGGGAGCGTGTAATACTCTCCACGTCCAGACCCATTACCTAGGAACTGTGTGGGCAAAACTCAGCGATTCACCGCGTCGCTCTGTGTGATCAAGTGGCCTGCTGCAGCCTGGTCGAGGCGACTGGTCTAGAGTACTGCTTTAACTAGTTCAAGTGCAGCAGGAGCCCCTGGGCACTCCCACCGAAGTGCAGATGGACTCGGCAAGTCTGGGTAGTCGGCCCGAGATAGTGCATTTCTTTTTCTTTCCTTTTTTAGTATTTTAATTGCCACAGGGCACACGTGCCCACCAGCGAAAGAGAGAGAGGAAGAAAGCACCCTCCCCGAGGGGCATGGTTACACCCACAATCTGTTCCTCCTTTCTCCATCCTATTGGGACTGGGAACATGCATGCACACACAGACAGCATGCTTTTCAAGGCACCGGGGCCAGGGTGCAAACGTGGTAGGCTATGTGGGATCTGGCTCCTTTGACCACCAGGCAACAGGGCTGGTCCCGAGATGGTGCATTTTTAACAGCCCCTTTGAGCCCACATTCTAGGTAGCGAGCAAGTTTGGAAAGCACTATTCTATAGTAAATAGCCATTGTTTCTTCTAACATCGCAGCCAGCACCTCTCGCCCCGCTGTTCCCTCGGCCCTTGAGATGTGAACATTGGCAATATCATCACTAGTGCGCCCAGAAAGAGCACCTCATGTTTTATTTGTCATCTGACCATGGAAAACTTACCCCCTTCCTGTTCCAGAAACTACGTTTCTCATAATGTAGCCGGGGCTTCCACTGGAAGGTTTGGTCCACCGGTCATTTGCCCTCGAAATTACCCTACTCCGGGTCTGCAGGTGGCAGAGTGGTTAAGCTGCTGAACTCCCATATGGCTAACCATGGTTTGAGTCTCGGACCTGCCGGCTTGCTTTCTCATTTTCCCTCTTTCTCTCTCTGTCTGTCTCAGGTCAAATTGAAACATTATAGTAATAAAATTTAAGACAATTCTTTTTTTTTTTTTGGAGAGGCTTTTTTGCTATAGGGCACGTGTGCTCACCAGAAAGACAGAGAGAGACAGAGAGACAGAAAGCGAGAAATCACCCCCCAGGGGGGATGGCCACGCCGCAATCCCTTCAACTCCATTCTCCTCTTGGGATCTTGGGCATGCATGCACACGTGCCCAGTGTGAATTTAAGCCACCGGGTCCAGGACTTGAACGGAGGTCGACTACATGGGAGTTCAGCAACATAGCCATTACGCGAACTGCTGGTCTCAAAATTTAAGACAATTGTTAAAAAAGAAAATAAATTGCCGTAACTGGGGAAGACTTTCCCCATCGGGTTTGAAGGTGGAAGCAAACACTGTTCTTGGGCACTCGGTATCATCTGACCTGAGGTTCCTGCCTGCTGAGGCCAGCGTGTGCCACCCTTTCAGGGGGATATCAACTGATAGAGGAAGCAGGCCCTACCGGGCCCCCATTTTTGAGGACACTGGGTAAGGAGAAGTGACCCCCTCCCTCGTCATCACCCCAGGCTTGGCGCTGACAATACTTAGGCTAAGAGTTCTGATCCTGGCTCAGCCCCAGCAGGCTGGCCCTGGGGCCCCAGAAGGCCATGTGCTGCAGGACAGGAGTGTGGCTTGAATGCACCCTGGGCCACAGCCTACTCCACCCCACCTCTTCTCTTGATATGTGTGACATTGTCACTTCCTCTCTCTGGTTCCCCATGTGGCCCTGCCCCTGATGGTTTCCAGGAATCACAGCATCACAGAATGACAGAGCCATGAAGACCCTGCGAGGTCAGCCTGGGGAAACCGAGGCCCAAGTGCACCAGGGACCCAGCCACAGCCGGGCAGCATTGCCTCCTTAAATCCAGCAGCGACCCCTCTGTCTCCAGTTCTGCGTGGCAATGTGGGGAACGGTCGTTGGCTACTCCTGAGTGGCATGAGGGCTCTGCGGTCCCCACAGCACTTGCTCTGGGAGGAACAAGGGCTAGGGTCCAGGCAAGGGCCCTGGTCAGCCTCTTACATTTCATTAACTCTTGTGTCCGGCAGCATCAAGCTGCCTGTCTGTGCTGCCACATCCCTGGAGCATCCCAGGTGCTCCAGTCATTGTTGGATAAGGGAATCAGTGGTGGGAAAGCAAAGCTGCCCACGAAACCAGGCTGGCTGCTCTCTGAGGCACAGCTGGGAGGGTAGGGCCGCAGAGCCACCCCACCTGAGCTGGCTTCGAAGACCGACCAGAGCCCCCCTCCCCAACCCAGCCTTCCTGCCCTTTGCCAGGTCCTACCTGCTATTTCATTTCTTCTCCAGGTGGATGTTCTTGTAGCCAGCGTCTCCCACAGGGTCAGGGCCTGGACTCAGACTGGGCTCCAGCATGAGCCTTCTTCTCTTCCTCAGGAAGTTGAGCAGGTCGCCATAGCAGCAGTACTCGGTGATGACCAGGACAGGGCCTACAGCAGCCAGGAGTGGGGGTAGGGGTGAGTCCCACGTCCGGGACTCAACAGGCCCGAGTTCTAATCTTGGCTCTCTGGGCAAGTTTCTCCATGCCTCAGTAACCTCACTGAAAGCCGAGGACCCTCAAAACTGTCTAGCCAATGCATTCTTCCTTCAAAGGAAATCGGTGGCGGTTTAAGGTAGGTCAGAGCTGCCAGGAGAAGGGGAGGGAGTGGACTTGCAGTCCCAAGCCCGGGACCACCTGGGGGACCCTGGGGTGAGCATCTTTGGGTGGGGGTTATTTCAAAGGTAGATGGGGGACCACACTTCAGACTGCAGGAGCAGACTTACCGGAAGCAGGGCCCAGGCATCTCTGTGCCTTTATCCCCTTTTCTGGGTGCCCTGTGCTCCTCAGTACCTGAGGACTACTAACTAGCACCAGAGAACTCTGTCACCATAAGTAGCTCCTGACTAGTCCAGGAGACTGGCTGGGAATTTAAAGGAGGCTGATACAGGGACCCCACAGGCACTTGGAGGAGATGAGAACATGGCGCTGGGCCTTTCAGACACTCCGAGAGCCCCCAAGGGCTTGGGCCCCTCCTGCCGGGCCTCACCTCCGTGGGTGCAGGCTCCCAGAAGGTTGACTATGTTCTCGTGCTGGCCCAGGTGGCTCATGATCTTCAGCTCCGACATGAGGGCCTCCTTCTCGTCCGCGTGTGCTGTAGCTGGGACACGGAGCCCAGGTCCCGCAGACAGGGAGAGAGCCACGCGGAGACCCAAGGGAGCAAACGGGGGCACCCAGAGACCCAGAGCAATCAGGGGCCGGAAGAGGGAGGAGAAATGCAGACACACAGAGAGGGGGAGGGAGGGAGAGAGGGGAGATGGGCCTGTCACTGAGCTGGTCTCTGGATGGCAGGAGGCCATGCCATGCCAGGCATAGCCCAAGGTGGCCTCTGCACCCAGCCAACCCAGAGATTGGTCAGAAGTCCCCCACATCCAGAGGCTGACCTAGACCTCCTTGAGCCAGGAGTCAGAGGGAGGCTGGAGTTTACAAAAAGAACCAAGTCCTTGCTCCTAGTCCTGGGCTCTGCCCCCCTGGGGCTGAAAGGATGGTGACACCTGTTGCCCACAGGGCCAGCGCACGGCAGCATAGACCACTTCCCACCCCACCACCTGTGCCATGCCCCTTCCCCTCACTCACACTTCAGCATCTTCACAGCCACCTTCAGGACAGCATCCTCCTTGCCCAGACCGAAGGCGGTGGCCTCCACTACCTTCCCAAAGGCACCAGCTCCAAGGGTCTTACCTGCCACACACACAGGCTCTTTAGGTGCTTGGGCACAGAGGGCCTCTCTGGAGGGAGGGCACACAGGTTCCCTGCAGCCCCCCTGGGCCCGGGACGGAAGGATGTGAGGGTGCTGAGGCCCCGTCTCACCAAACTGCAGGTTGTTTCGGGGGAACTCCCACTTCTCATTGTAGGGCAGCTGGGTGGGGTCGATGAAGGTGTAACTGTTGCCCTCGTAGCTCTCGATGATCTTCCAGCGCACCTGGTACTTGGGCTTCTGCAGAAAGGGGAAGGAAACACGCGGCGGCTGGATCTTGGCTCTCATCCCCGACTTCCAAGGGCAGGAGTGCAGCCCCCAGTGCGACCACACAGGCCCACGCCATGCCCGAGCATGGCACCGAGAGCCAGTCCCTGCTCGCCCTGCCTTGCTGCATGGCCCTCCCTTCTCCCAGCCTCAGTTCCCCTCTCCGTATTAAAGGGCTTGGATGGGATCACCTCTAAGGCCCTGAGCGGCTGCTCCTTGTCATTCCTGAACCAGGAACAGCCTCCTACCCAGTTTTCAGTTCGTCTGTTTCTATTTTTAATTATGATAAAACATAACATGAAATCAGTCATGTCGATCATGTTTAAGTGTACAGTTCAGAGTGTTAAGTATATTCACATTCTCGTGCAACCACCTTCCAGACCTTTCTTTTTGCAAAAAAGGAACTCTAGCCCTTGAAGAATGCCGCGTTTCCTCCTTCTCCCAGCCCTGGCAGCTGTGATTGGACTTTCTGGCTGGGTCTGCTCATCGCTTCTGACTCACTTCACTCTGCACAGTGGCTTCCAGGTCCATCCAGGTCATGTCATGGCTCAGAATTCCCTTCCTGTTAAGGCCGAATAGCAGCCCCCTCCAGATACTTCATTGAGCACCTATTACATCAGCATTGAATGAGACAAAGTCCCTGTTGCCATGGAGTTTGCATTCTCGTGGCTAAGAAGAAGTGACACAGAGTAATGGGACAGAGAGCAATGGGTCCTGGTAGGGTAAGTCAGAGAGAGCCCTCGTGGAACCAGCTTGAGACTCTTGGAGGAAGAATGTTCTAGGCACAGCACTCACAGATGCTGCGGCCTGGATGTGCGAAAGATCCCAGCAAGTCTGAGTGACAGAAAGGAGGCGACTGTGGCTGGAGAGAGGAGCGTGTGTGTGTGCGCTCGGGGTGGGAGGTGGGGAGGCCGGTCCAGAGGCAGGAAGGTCGGAGCGCTGCAGTGAGGGCTGCAGTGAGGTGAGCGGGTTTCCTTCGAGTCCGACCTTGGCGCAGGCGAGTGGCACCGGACTTGACACCCACTAGACTTGCTCTGGATGGCCAGGCCCTGTGTGAAGAGCTGAAGTTCCTTCGCAGGCTTTCCACACAGTTCCAGCCAGCGGCCAAGGCAGAGCTGGGGTCTGGGGAGCAGCTCCCTTTCCCAGCAGGTGGCAGCTGCGAGGGGAGCTCCAGGCCAAGCCGCCCATCAGAAGTGCTGACAGAAGACGAGTTTCGGGGAAAGTGGAAGCTGGGCTGGGGCCTGGGGTCAGCAGACTGACTCTCTAGTCAGGCCTTGGGGATGGGGACCAGCTCTCCTGGGTGCCTTCCTGGGCATCCCGCCTAGAGGGACTAAAGGGTGCGTGAGTGAGTGTCAGAAGGAGGGTGGCCTACAGCTGCCAGCCTCACCAGGTTGATAGGAAAGATTCCAGATCGCCGTAGGGAAGGGCGTCCAGATGGTGGTTCGATTTGTGAAAAGACCTCGGTTAGATGTAAGGAAGAACTGCCAGGCTCTGGTTCCGACACAGGTCAACTGAGGAACATCTGTGAGACGGCTTCGGGGAGAGTCGGAAACGGACGTACAGAGGAACTTCTGAGTCTCTGGGGAGCCGAACTCTGTGTGTGGGTGCCTCCCCAACCCAAAAGACAGAGAAGAGCGAGGAGGGGATTCTTTGAACTCTCCTGGCCACTTCCATCTCCAGGAGCCTCTGTGGCCAGGCCTCCTTTATCTCCTCGCCACTTCTTCTTCCTCTGTCCCTCTGCAGCTGAGCTGAGTCAGCCCACTCTGGCCCAGCTGGCGGGGGACATTGTCAAAAAGGAGGGGGATCAAAGGAGGAAGGTCTTGTTGGGAGGGAACCTCAGGTCTCAGTCCTGGACACCCACACCTGGAGAAGGGCCAGGCTGTCTCCCATCTGCTGAGAAACGCCCACCTCCTTCCCTGCTCTGCTTGGACATCTCCCAGGGCACCTGTGGCAACCCTGTCAGGGCTCCTGCACGGTTCTGCCCCAGAGGCCATCTCTCTTCTGAAGGAGAAGCATGAGGAAGAAGTCAGGGGATGGGGACAGGCTGCCTCAGGCCAGAGTTCCAGTAACAGTGGCAGGAATTGTGGTGACAGCAGTAGACTTCCCGAGCCTTTCCTGTGAGCAGGGCACCAGGCCTCAGTGTACACACCACGTTTGTTCCTCACACTGGCCTAAGCCCCACACCCAGCTCTGACACCCCACTCCACTCCCGGGACCAAACGGGATAGACACCCAAGTCCAGGCCACCTCCCTATCCAGGCCTGCTGGCCTGGGTGGGTGTATGTTCTCTGTCTCAGGAAGGTGGAGACCTAAACAATTCTCACTGGAAACTTTGGGGGACCCTTCTGCCCACACTCACAGTTCAGTTCTGGCCCCCAGAAACCTAGTCTCCCCTTCCCTTCCCTCCTCCCTGCCTCGCCCAGGCCTCCTGTGGCCCTCCTCCTTGCAGCCTGCTGACTCCTGCCCTTTCCTCTTTCCCCTGGGCCCCCCTGTGGTCTCTCTAGGGGACAGAAGGGTGATGACTCAGCCCTGAGGCAGAAGCAGTCCTTTCATAGACTAGGCCATTCCTCATCCCAGCCTGGGCTGTAGAGATAGTCCAAGCCAAGCCCCCACTGAAGGGGCCAGGCATGGAAGGTCTCAGGGCTAAGCAGCAGGCCCTGAGGCAGGGGGATGTCACTCTGAGTCCTCAGATCCCATAAGTGGATGCTTCAGTGTGGGGACGCTTAAGCTTTTGTGGATTTGGAGGAGGAGGGTGGCCTGAGGCTCTAGGTCTTCTCTGGCCTTGAGTAGAGCTCAGGGGGCAGACTTTCCTCACAGGCAAGGAGGAGGTGACTGGGAGTACTCTAACAGTGGTCCTGTGAAGAGAGGATAAAGCGCCCCTAAACCATGGCCGGGGTGGTCAGCCAAGGCAGATAGTCTGCAGCAGGGCCTGGGCCTCTCTCTGGCACCTCCGCCGGGCTGCCCTGACTGGGGAGGCAGCTCTGTGGCACACAGGCCCTCACTCTGCAGTTCCATCTGAGGTAGAACTTTGCAAAAGTCGGAGCTGCTCAGAGAAGGAACAGGCGGCAGCCAGCATGAGTAAGGTCCCGTCTGTGGAGGTGGACAAGCAGGGCCCACAACCACGTTAGTTGTGTAGTCATGGAGATGCCCAACCCCAGACAGCCCATCAATCCCGAGAAGCATGAGCTAACTGCTTCCTCTGCCCACTTCCTCCTGAGATGCGGGCATGCAGAGTCTCCTGCTGGGATCGCTGTCTGCACCCTGCACCCCACTAAGCCCTCTGCAGGCATCAGGTCACAGCATCCCCACAACCGGCTGGGCTGGCTGCCATGATGACCCCATTGAAAGATGGAAAAACAGAGCCTTAGAGAGAGTGACTTGTCCATCATTCCGCAGCCAGAGACAGGAAGAGGCGGGCTTTGGACCCAGAGCCATCAAACTCCCAGGCCCTAGCTCTTAAACTGCACCATTGGTAGGCTCTTACAGTGTCAGAAGAAGAGTGACTGTTTAAGGTCACCTGGTCCCATTGTACAGGAGGAGAAACTGAGGTCCAGAGAGGTCAGTGAGTCAGCAAAAGGTCACATGGAAAAACAGCATCAGGGCCTAGACCCCTAAATCTTGCCCCGGACCCTGCTTTCCTCAGCGCTGCACTTCGAGCTGCCTTCTCACGCCGGGTGCTGGTAGAAGCGTAGAGACCCAACCCGATGGGCCCCTGTGGCTCCACAGAAGCGTAGAGACCCAACCCGATGGGCCCCTGCGGCTCCACATCCCGTCTACCTGGCCCACTCCGAGTCCTCTTCTCACAAACCCCAAGGCAGGGTTGAGGAAGGAAAGTCAGCAAAGGGGCACAAGTGGGTCATCACCCCCAGGTCATATTACTCACTGTTCAAACCCACCATTAGCTCTGGGCCTTAAGACCCCTAGCACTACCGCCTTCAGGCTCCTCCTCCAGTATTTCCCAAACCCACCTCGCTCTTCCCCTTGCCTGCCCTGTCACACACACCACCTCTTTCCCAAGAGATGCCCTTTCCCTGAGTTTCATGTCCCCCATCCTCCGAGCCCATCTCTCCAATCCTCAGCCACCTCTGAGCAGTTTCCCTTCCCCACCAGCAGAAAGCCCTCTCCCCCGCGGACTTCCTGCAGCCCTTGGCCGGCCCTCAGCGTCTTAGCACATTGGACGTCGTATTGTGTAGGGGGCAGCTAGGCCAGGTGAGGAAGCCATGGGCGCTGGTGTGAGAGGCACCTGGAATCCATGCCAACCTCACCTCCGACTCGGCCGGGTTCTTGGACCTTGCTGAGCCTCAGTTTCCTTATGGAGAAAATGCTGACTGTTACGTTCTCTGCTGCTGGATTATTGTGAGGGGAAATAAGAGGATTGTGCGTTTCACATGATGCCTAAAAATCCAACTTTGGAGTTAGGCCTTCTGGCCTAAAAGCCAGACTCTGCCTCTGACGAGCTGTGGGCTAGGGCGACTATCTCGGCCTCTCAGAACCTCAGCTTTCAGCTCTGTAAATGGAGTTGCTAATACTCTCCGCATGCCGTAATTGCTAAAGGCATTCAACGAGAGCAGGTAGGCAGCACGCTTCCAAAAAATGGGGGTGGACAGCAGTCCTAAAGGCCCTGTTGGGGGTGCCTGTCTCTCTCTCTTCTTTCCCCACTCTGTCTCTGATAGAGGTAATAAAGGGACAAACTTTTAAAATGATAATAGTAGCGATAAATAACGAAGAGGGCAGTGATGGACGCAGGTGTTCCTCCTCCACGAGACCACACGCTGCCCGAGGGCCAGACTCAGGCCTGGCCCAGGACGCCCTCTGTGCTCATCTCGCCAGCTCTGTGCTGGTGCCTGGCCGTCCCCATGCTGGGGATGTGAGCCATGCCCTGGCTTTCATGGCTATTTGTCACTCACTGTCTCTTTTGGACCGGATAGTAAACTCCACGGGGACAGTGTCAGAGGCCACCAGCCCCTAGCCTGTGTTGGCAGTCAGTGGGTGCCCAGTGCAGAGCCGTGAGCGGAATGGCTGACAGGCAGAATGAGTGAGGGATGGGGCTGCAGGGGAGATCGTGCCCCTGGTGGCGGAGTACCCCGATCTGCTCACTCAGCTCCCTGGCTGGCCTGGTCCCCGGCTCACCTGCTTGTACTTGTACAACAGCAGCAAGAGCAGGAGCAGCAGCAAGGCCATGACGGACAAGCAGGCGACCACCACTGGCGTGAAGAGTGCCTCCTCGGGGAGCTGCGTGTGGGCTCCTGCAGGACGGGCAGAGGAGTGAGCGAGCGGGGGCCTCTGAGCCCCTCCCTGCACTGACCAGGCCAGTGCACCGCTAGGGCACAGTGGGTGCTCACTCAGTGCTCGCTGACTGCGTGGAGTGTCCCCTCGCCACAAAATCCTCGACCCTCCATGAGCCCCTCCCGCAGTGCCTCCTGTCCTGCAGACAGGCAGGGAGGACAGCCTCTCAGCTCTGCTCGTCAGCTCCAAACCCTGTCCAGGAGCACACCTCTGATGGCCGGAGACCATGAGGTCATGCGGCCCTCTCCCAGTGGAAGAAGGCCCTGTGCAGCAGCTGGCTCTGGGCCAGGTGGGCCGCCTCTCCGTTTGTCATCTGTCTCCTTCACCAGACTCCTAGCCCCGGGGAGGTGCTGGTCTCCTGCCCCGAGCAAGTGCCGGGTGCCGGTGTGTGCTCGTGCATTAATGCATGAGCTGCTGTGCAAGAAGCACATGGCAGAGCCCAGGCTGCTTCAGGCTGCGTTCTCTCTGGATGGCATGTCTGCTTCCCTCTGCTCTCCCTACAGCTCAGTCCTGCAAAGGCCTGGCCTCCCCTACTGTGCTGGCTGCTCAGGAGCCTTGGTCAAGGAGGCCCAGAGGGGCCAGCAGATGACCTAGTGGACGCCCACGTGGCCAACCATGGTTTGAATCCCAGAGCCGGCGGTTTCAAAATCATACCGGGAGAGTATGTGTGCCTGCCCAAGATCCTGGGAGGAGAATGGAGAAGGGACTGTGATGTGGCCATCCCCCATGGAGGGGGGTGATTTCTCACTTTCCCTCTCACTGTCTCTCTTTCTTTCCCCCCAGTGAGTGCATGTGCCCCAAGGCAAAAACCTCTTTAAAAAAAAAAAAGAAAGAGGAGACCAGAGCTGACCCAGAGAGGTGGGACTTGGTATTGCGGTAATCCACATGGGAGCCCTGGTGGTAGCTCCTGGAGACAGGGATGGCACTTCGGGGGAGCCCTGCCATGCTGGCCTGGAGGGTAAGGCTCAGGCTCACCTACAGGGAAGGGCCTGAAGGAGCGGGAACTGTTGCCCACGCTGTTGTGGGCCCTGCACTCGTAGGTCGTGTTGTGCTCAAAAGTCTTGACGGTCAGTTGGCTCTGGACGATCACCTTCTGGAAGGGCTCCTGGCTCAGGACCTCGGGGTACCCATCTTCCCAGACCTGCAGCACTTGGGCCTCATCACACCTGGGAAGAACAGAACAAGACTGTTTTGGGGTCCCTAGCACCAGAATGCTCCTCCCACTTATGGGGTGCCCACCTCTCCTCTGTCCCAGTCCTCAACCTGGGTGAGGGAGGAGGGGGCCCACTTACCTGTCAACGTGGCCTCTGCACTGCAGCCACGTCACATTGGGCTGGGGGTACCCGGAGGCCTCACAGAATAGAGAGTAAGAGCCGTTGGTGGGTGTCCATGTGACACTCACCTCGGGGAGGTCTAAGGAGGAAGGGACCAGAACAGGACGGGTCAGCCAAGGCCCTGAGTCTCCTCTCTTCCCCAGCCTTTCTCAGTTACTCACCCCCAGGCAAGCCTATTCTCCAGGCAGCCCCAGGGAACCCCCCAACCTCAACCTGCCCACCACTCACATCGAAGGGTGAGCTCAAAGGTCAGAGCACTCCAGCCCCCTGCGTTTCTGGCCAGGAAGGAGTAGCGGCCTGCCTCCGAGGGCTTCAGGCGGGGCAGGGACAGGGTGGACGTGTACCTAGGGAGAAGAGCAGGGGTCTCGGTAGGAGACCTTGGACAGGGCGTTCAAGGCAGCCACCTTAAAGGGTTTTTCTTATTTCTGGTAAAGTGTCCAGGGCATAGAGGCCTCGGGGGAGCCAGATTCTCAGACAGGGAGCTACTGAGACAGAAGTCGCCAGGCCTATTTCATCTGAAAGTGGGTTAGTGTTTTTTTTTTTTTTTCTTCTCCCCTTTCCCTTCCATTTTCTCTTTTTTTCTTTACATCACACAGGGAATATACTGACGCCATAGCAAGATTGGAGGGAAGCACATCTCCCACAGCAGCGTGGACACCCACGGACCAGAGGATCTGAGAGGGGTTTTGCTGAGGTCTAGCAGAGGGGGCGGATGCGAGGTGCTGGGGACACATCACAGGCCCCTCCTTTCACCACTGTCACTGGACTAAGACTTTGCAAGAGCAGCAATCCCAGCCCCAACGCTCTCCAGCACCAGCCCGGCCAGGAGGACCTGAGAGAGGAGCAAGAGGCAGGACTCCAGTTCTGACAGATCAGGGCCAGGCCCTGTGCCCTCGCCTTTCAGCTGTGCGGCCTTAGAGAAGTATCTAACTTCTTGGGGACCAGCAGGTAGCGTGGTGGTTAAGGTGCTGGACACTCCCACATGGCCGACCACGGTTCTAGTCCTGGACCTGGCAGCTTCCTTTCTCCTTTTCCCCCTCTCTCTCTTGCTCTGTATCTCTCTCTGGTCAAATTAAAATAAATGAATGAATACATAAAATTAAATAAATAGTAATTAAAAAAAGAAGAAGTATCTAACTTCTCAGATCCTCTGCTTCCTTTGCCCTGAGAGCAAGACCAATGTTGTTTTTGTTTGTTTGTTTTGAGAGGTTTTTGCTACAGGGCGTGTGCGCTTGCCAGAGAGACAGAGAGATAGAAAGCAAGAAATCACCCCCCAGGGGGATGGCCATGCCACAATCCCTTCTCTTCCACTCTCCTCTTGGGATCTTGGGCACGCACACACAGGCACCCGGCATGAGTTTAAGCCACCAGGTCCGGTACTCAAACTGCGGTCGACTACATGGGAGTCCAGTGACATAGCCATTACGCTAACTGCTGGGCCCAAGACCAATGTTAAATCAGTGGCTTGGCCTGTGATTTAAAAGGAACTGTACTTACTGTAGGCACATTTTATGGCCTCCTTATTACAGCAAATGCCAATGAAGGTCATTCTTGGCTGCCTTCAGGGGATTATTTTGTTTTATTCTTTTCTTTCTTTTCATTAAACATTTTTACCTTGGGGCCAGCAGGTGGCACGGTGGTTAAGGCATTGGACTCACATGGTCAACAGCAGTTCAAGTCCCAGATCTGGTAGCTTGCCTTCTCACTCCTCCTGACCCCCTGTCTCTCTGGTCAAATTTTAAAAACAACAATGATAATAATAAACAAAATTAAATTAAAAAAATTCTTAATTTTTTTTTTGTTTTACCTTATGTTTTAATTATCAGAGGGTGTATATACTCACTAGAGACAGACAGACAGACAGAGAGTCAGAGAGAGGGAGAAAGGAACCCCTGATGGGGCACGGTCGTGTTTTAATCCCTCCTCTATTTCTCCCTCCTGTCAGGATTCAGTGTGGGCACACAGGCTTAGCATGTTTTTCAAGCCACTGGGGTCAAGATTTGAACTGCAGTTGGCCATAGAGGATCCAGTTCCCCTAACCCCTAGGCTGTGGGACTGGCCTAGTTTTATTCTCTTCTAAATCTCTGCTTTATCATTTTCCCACAATGAACATGGATTATTTAGATAATAATTAAGTTTAAAAATAAATTATCATAGGGGCCAGCAGGTGGCATGGTGGTTAAGGGTGCTTGGCTCCCACATCGTCGACTGTGGCTCGAGGCCCAGACCTGGTGGCTTGCTTTCTCACTTTCTCTCTCTCTCTCTCCTTCTCTGGTCAAGTTAAAGTAAATAAATAAAATAAAATAAAATAAAATAATGCTTAAAAAAATGAAAATAAAAATAAATGACCGTGAACTACCAGTTCTTATGTGGAAAATGTCTGCAGCTACCGCTAGACTAAAGGCCATGCTCTTCCAAGGGCAGTCTGGCTCAGCCAGCGCTTTGACACACAGCCCTCCTCATGTTCGTTCCTGAGATAACTAACACCTACCCCTTCACCTGAACAGAGTTCAGCTTTTTGCATCATCCAAAGTCACCGTTAAGGACACACCCGTTACATGAGCTCAAATCTGATGGCTCTTTGGTGACCAGGTTTGTCTGCTCTGTGCTGAATGGTCCCAAACTGTGAGTTTTAAGGGATCTCACAGTTCCTTTCCAGTCATCTCTTTGCTGATGGACCCCTGAAACCTATATGTGGACCGGTCTCTCCTGAAAGTCCACAGATGATAGAATCAGAACTGCTTCAGACAGGGGGAAGATAGGAACCCTGGTCAGAAAGGACAAGAGGGAACTGAGAGAAGTAAGTGGGGGCAGAACATCCTCGTTTCTTCTGATGACAGGCAAGATTCCAGGAAGCAATGAGGTTTGGGGTTCAGGGCCTTGAACAAGAACCCCAGACAATTCCGGAGTTGGAAGATGCCTAAAGAGTTATCTAGCCAGGCCAGCAGATGGCATGAGGTTAAGGCAGCTGGATCTTACATGGCTGACTGTGTGGTCTGAGTCCCAGACCTAGAGGTCTGAAAAAACACGCCAGGTCCATGTGTATGCATGCCCAAAATCCTGAGAGGAGAATGCAGAAGGGACTGTGGTGTGGTCATCTTCCCTGGGGCGTGCTTTCTCACGTTCTCTCTCTCTCTCTTTCTCTGGTGAGCACATGTGCCCTATAACAATAAATAAATAAATAAATAAATACATAAATAAATAAAAATAAAAATTCTAGCCCAGGGCTGGCAAATCACTCTCTGCTCGTGAGCCAGCATTGCTGCAAATACTATCTAGGGACCATGTTAAGAAGGCTCCGAGGCTGCATCCAGACTCTGCAGGAAAGAGTTGCAGAAAAATGGATGTGGGATGTCTGTCATGAGTACGGGGGTTGGGGGGGCAGTAAGGCACGTGCCATGTATTTGCTGTCTTTAAGTGAACACTCTCATTCTAATAGAACAGGTAAGAAACTATAGTCTTAATACCTGGTATCAGTGTTCTTCTCGGGAGGAACCTCTCATTTAGAAACTACCTGATTAGGCCACCTTGGGTGGGAAAGAAAGACCCTGAGGACGTAAACACACAGCCCTCCTCATGTTCGTTCCTGAGATAACTAACACCTACCCCTTCACCTGAACAGAGTTCAGCTTTTTGCATCATCCAAAGTCACCGTTAAGGACACACCCGTTACATGAGCTCAAATCTGATGGCTCTTTGGTGACCAGGTTTGTCTGCTCTGTGCTGAATGGTCCCAAACTGTGAGTTTTAAGGGATCTCACAGTTCCTTTCCAGTCATCTCTTTGCTGATGGACCCCTGAAACCTATATGTGGACCGGTCTCTCCTGAAAGTCCACAGATGATAGAATCAGAACTGCTTCAGACAGGGGGAAGATAGGAACCCTGGTCAGAAAGGACAAGAGGGAACTGAGAGAAGTAAGTGGGGGCAGAACATCCTCGTTTCTTCTGATGACAGGCAAGATTCCAGGAAGCAATGAGGTTTGGGGTTCAGGGCCTTGAACAAGAACCCCAGACAATTCCGGAGTTGGAAGATGCCTAAAGAGTTATCTAGCCAGGCCAGCAGATGGCATGAGGTTAAGGCAGCTGGATCTTACATGGCTGACTGTGTGGTCTGAGTCCCAGACCTAGAGGTCTGAAAAAACACGCCAGGTCCATGTGTATGCATGCCCAAAATCCTGAGAGGAGAATGCAGAAGGGACTGTGGTGTGGTCATCTTCCCTGGGGCGTGCTTTCTCACGTTCTCTCTCTCTCTCTTTCTCTGGTGAGCACATGTGCCCTATAACAATAAATAAATAAATAAATAAATACATAAATAAATAAAAATAAAAATTCTAGCCCAGGGCTGGCAAATCACTCTCTGCTCGTGAGCCAGCATTGCTGCAAATACTATCTAGGGACCATGTTAAGAAGGCTCCGAGGCTGCATCCAGACTCTGCAGGAAAGAGTTGCAGAAAAATGGATGTGGGATGTCTGTCATGAGTACGGGGGTTGGGGGGGCAGTAAGGCACGTGCCATGTATTTGCTGTCTTTAAGTGAACACTCTCATTCTAATAGAACAGGTAAGAAACTATAGTCTTAATACCTGGTATCAGTGTTCTTCTCGGGAGGAACCTCTCATTTAGAAACTACCTGATTAGGCCACCTTGGGTGGGAAAGAAAGACCCTGAGGACGTAATGTGTAAGGAGCCAGGAAAAAGATGGCGAAAGGGTATGTGTGGAATACGTGGGATCCCGGAGTGGGGAGCTAGGAAGAGAAGATGCAGATCTGGCTGCACTTTATGAGAAGAGTTTTGAGCCCCTGGAGAAGGTAGCTGGTGGGGAATTCTCTGGGCTGGGCAGCCACAGGCCTTTTGAGTTCTGTCACCGTGTCTATGATGACGTGATGCCGGTTCCCTCTGCCCCCGGACCTGTACGATGACAGACAGCGTGTGCGGTCATTGATAGGACCGTGTCCGTGAGTGGCAATTATGGCAAAGGGGCGTTTCCTGCTTTGGTGTGGCTACGAAAAAGGCATTAAATGAGGTTGCACGTTTGTGAGGGACCACGGGAATGCACGCCCTCAACAAGTAATAGGATTCTTGGGGAAGGCATTGCATTTTCCGAGGACATGGGAACAGAGACGTGAGTCAAGTGGATCCGAATCTCAAAACAGATGATTGGTCCTGGGGTTTCACATGGTCGGGGAAAGCTGAGTCCAGAGAGGGGAGGGGCTTGCTCAAGACTACTCAGCGAGGTTGGGTTCTGACCCAAGGGTCCTGATTCTGGCTGACCCAAGCATCTGTATCTGGCTGTGAGACTATGTGGACAGATGGGAGCGGGCAGGTGGTACCTGTAGGTGTCCTTGCTGGTGACAAAGTTGAGCTTGGGCTGGTGGTCCGAGAAGGGCCCCAGGTAGGTCCAATTGAAGCCTTGTAGGCTTGGGTAGGCCTCCACCTTGACTCTGAGGCTGAGCTTCTCACCCACGGTCACCTCCTGGAGGAGGTTCTGCTCAGAGGTCAAGTTCAGGTAGGCACTCTCTGAAAAGCAGAGACGCAGAGATCTGGCATTAGTGGGAAGACATCTGTTTATTTATTAACCAGTGGTCCCTCCACTGGTCCAGTCCCTGAGCACCTACTGTGCACAGTCCCCGCTCCCAGCCAAGACCTGCTGCTGGCAGCTCTCTTCCCACCACCCACCTCTGACACCCAGAGCCCAAAATTCTTCTCACTGAATCTAGGAAGATCGGGGCAAATTTCTAACCCCCTTTGACCTTCATTTCCTTATTTGTATAATGAAGAAATTGAGTTTACCTATGATTTTCTAACTTTTTAAAAATGTTCTATAACACAAAAATAATCTGGTGTTTCTTTCACATGGCTTCATCCATTTGCCCTTCTTTTTTTCTTTTTAATATTTGCCATAGGGTGTGTACATTTGCTGGAGAGAGAGAGATGGGTGAAGGAATTGAGAAAGCTCCCCCCCACCATGGGGGAGGACCAAGCCACAATCCTTTCTCTTCTATTCTTGAGATTTTAGGCACACCTCCACACATACCCAGAGTGTTTTCTTAAGCCACCGAGTCCAGGACTCGAACCAAGTAGTCAGCCACATCAGATCCAGATGTCTCAACTATCATGCCACTGGCTGGCCTATCTCCCCTTCTTTGGTATAAGTCACTCAGCGTGGCTCCCACAGCAGGCCTGCGGCAGGCACGTGGCCCAGGCCAGCCCATCAATGTCACTTTCCGCCCCCCGGACCAGTGATCGGTTTGGGTTAGGCACACGAGTTCAAGAGTTTATGAAACTCAACTCCATGCTTTTTGCTGGAACTCTGGGGAGAGAGAAGTCTTCATTTCACTGGGACTGCCAAGCTTGGCCCTGTTAGGGCCCCACAGGGGATTCCTGCCTGAGGACTAGGCTCAAAAGAAAAGGTAGAGGCCTAGCCATGGTGGCATGTGCTGCCAACACACTGTGTGTCACCATCCAGACCACGTGGAGATCCAGGTTCCATTTCCTCAAGGTCAGGCATGGTGACATGCACCTGTAATCCCAGAGACTCAGGGAGACCGAGGCTGGAGGACTGCGAGCTCGAGACCAGCCTAGGTGACATAGGGAGACCCTGTCTCCAAAGGAACCAGGGGTGGGTGGTGACGGCTTATGGTCCAACTGGAAGGCTGAGGCAGGAGGGTTGTGACAGCAAGGCCTTGTCATCCAAGAAAGGAAAGAAGAAAGGAAGGGAAAGAAAAGGAAGGGAAGGCAAGGGGAGGGGAGGGGAGAAGAAAGGAAAGGAAAGGAAAGGAAAGGAAAGGAAAGGAAAGGAAAGGAAAGGGGAGAGGAGAGGAAAGGAGGGGAGGGGAGAGGAGAGCAGAGGAGAGGAGAAGAGAAAAGGAAGCTTGTGTCATCTGAACACCTAGATCCAGCTATTCCTGAATCAGTTTTCTGATTCTGAGCTTTTAAACTATAAGGCCAAAAAATTCTCTTTCGATTAGGCATTTTGAGTTGGTTTCTGTTATCTGTACCTGTGAGAGTCCTGACTAGTTTCTTCTCGTGAAATTTTGCATGGTTTAGACTCCAGCATCTCTGGTTAAATCTTAGGCAAAAACTCCTGATCGCTCAAACTCTTCACGCCTCTTGATGCCTTCTTAAAACCTTAGCCCTCTGCAAAAAGTCCCAGACGACGTGATCTCTAAGGCTGTCTCTCCCTTAATTCTAAAAACTCCTGATCGCTCAAACTCTTCACGCCTCTTGATGCCTTCTTAAAACCTTAGCCCTCTGCAAAAAGTCCCAGACGACGTGATCTCTAAGGCCTGTCTCTCCTTAATTCTATAAAATCTACATTCACACTTCTGACCTATCAGATGCCTACTCAAAAGCCTCCTGTGTCTCCCCATTACCTCCATTATTCAGCTTGGCATTCTAGGATCTCAGTCAAATCAGGTCTCAGTGTGCTGTCAGGACATCGCCCTTCTTCCTGTCCCCTCCCCGCCCACACACACTCAGTGCTCCACCCTCTGGGTCTTGTAACATCCTTGAATGCACGTGGTCATGCCAACAGGGAGGGTGTGCTCAGGCCATTTCCTTCACCAGGAACTTCTCTTCTCTTCTAGATTCTTCTGATCCTTCAACATTCGCCCCCACCAGGGAGCACCACTGAGCATGCCAGCCCGCAGGGCACCCTTGCTTCCGCTGCCCTTCTGACTACACACTCATGGGGTCTACAGCGACACTGCTTCGTGCATCGACTTCTCACTGTCTTCTCTCCCCGGTGGGTGTGTAGGCTTCTAGGGGCCACGCTTTTGTCTTCTTTCTCTCTCCGTCTTCACTACCCATCTGTCCATCCATCCATCCAGACTCCAACCACTTCCCACTACTTCCATCATTACTGCTCTAGCCAAGCCACCATCACCGCTAGCCTGGACTGCTGCAGTCGCCTAAATTGTCTCCCTACTTCTGCCCTTGCCTCTCTACAGATATCCCCAACTGAGCCCCCAAAGTCTTGGCACCTCCAAGTCTGATCATAGCACTCCTCTGCTCCAACCCTACAGTGGCTCTCCATCTCTCTCAAGAGACAAAGCCCAAGTCTCTACATGGGCCCACAGGGCCCCATGGGATCAGCCATCTCTGCTCTGCCTCTCTGACCTCTCCTGCCTCGCTTCCTCCCGCTTGCCCACCAGGTCACGCCAGCCTACATGTTCCATGAACAGGGCAAGCACAGTCCTGCCCTAACGATGCTGCCACCCCTGCCTGGACCTCTTTTCTCCCTAATGTGTGCATGGCTTGAGCCTTTGGCATCACCCAGTCTTGGCTAAATGCCAGCTCCCAGGGAGGTCTTCCTTGATAACCTCCCTGGTCGAAACTGCAAATGCTGTCTATCCACTTATTTGTTCTTTTGGAGCTTATTTTGCTCATTGCTTGTCTCCTCGCAGAGAAAGCACCCAAGTGCCGCTGTCATGAGGGCAAGGGTTTGTGTCTGTGTCATTCGTGGCTGTTTCTTTAGCAGCCAGAACAGCGACGGGCCCAAAGTGCCGATGAACACAAACACGTGCTGAGTGACATGCTGAATGGCTGTACTGGAAAACAGGATTATAACTGGGGGGTGGGCATTCTATGTGCTTTTACTCCTCTTCCCCTTTACCCTCAAAGCTCCCAGTGCACGAGGGGGCCCACAGCAGAGCTCACACTGCAAATCAGTGCACTGCATGGGCTTGGGGGCCAGGGGTTCTCAGGGGTCCCACCCAGCCTCCCCATCTCCCATAACATCCAACACACGAGGCATGGCCAGACCTAACGGCTCAGAGCCTGCTCCCACCCTGGAGGCTCCCAGTCGCCACAGAGACCTGCAGGCTGTCCTCAGCCCTGCTCTCTCCATCTCCTCATCTCAGCAGCCAGCGAGTCTTATCACCCTCCCTGCGACATCCCGGGTAAGAGACTGCTGCACAGCCCGCACTCTGGCCTGGCACCCTCGGTCAGCCAGTGCCAGCCTGTTTCTGGCCTCCAGTTCTCTGACCAGTCTATACGCTCCAAGCCGAGCCTTCTCAGACAACCTCCTGTGTACCTTCAGCCTGCTCTACCCCAGGCCAGGCCTGCTCTGTTTCTATATGTGCGTGCATAGTTCTCACGAGTCTACGAGGTAGTTACCGTGAATCGCTCCATTTTGCTGGTAGTGAAACTAAGGCACAGAGAGGTCAAGCAGCCTCCTAGCTGTTGGCGGAACAAGGTTGGACCGCCACCCAGGAGTGGGTGCTCCGGACCACCATGCAGGGGCTGCTCTGTGCAACCTGATCCCACTACTCTCCTCTATAAACCTTCAGGGGCCTCCCAACAGGATAAGGTAGGGCTACCCATCCACCTTAGGGCCTTTGACCCTCCGACTTCTGCCTCCATTTCTGCTCCCTCGTGGCCGCTGCTCCCACCACCCCCTGTCTCTGTGTCACAAGCACTCTACACTGTCTTTGTCCTTGGGCCTTGCAGATGCCGTTCCCTCCGTTCCCTCCGACAGAAGTGCTGCTTCCCTTACTTTCGCCTCCTGCCCGCCTAGCCCAGCTTCATCCTTCGCATCCCAGCTTAGAGGCCACTTTCCTCAAGCCTGGGCCCGGGGAGCCCTCAGTGTTCCCAGTGCGTGCTTCCCCCACACTGGCTGCTCACGTGTCCGTGTTCCAGGAACGCCTCTGGTCCGAGGGAATGAACAGATGAGTGGACAGACAGCCCAGAAGGCAGCTGCTGGCCCCCACTCCCCTAATAGAAAACGACGGGGGCTGAAGCGGAAGTGACAGTGTGCTGCAGGAACTCGAGGGGAGGGCTTCCTGGGAGGGTCTAGGAGGGCTCCTAGCCAGACCCAGGGTAAAGAGAGTCCAGTGGAAGTTGGGTTTGTTTTGTTTGTTTCTTTGTTTGTTTTACTATAGGGCGTGTGTGAGCTCACCAGAGAGAGAGAAAGAGAGGAAAAGTGAGAAATCCCCCCACTCCTGGGCAGGGTGGGGGGATGGCCATGCTGCAATCCCTTCTCCTCCCTTCTCCTCTCAGGATTTTGGGCACACAGGCACATGCACTGGTGTGTTTTTCAAGCCAGCAGGTCTGATTCAGCTGCCTTAACCTTCACGACACCTGTTAGCACATGGAAGCGTTCTTAACAGTGTCTCCTGGGGCCAGCAGGTGCTGGACTCCCATATGGTCACCTGTGGTTCAAGTCTCAGACTGGGGACTTGCTTTCTCACTCTCTCTCTCCGCCTCTGGTCAAATTGAAGAAGAAGAATAAATTAACTTATTTAAAATAAATAATTCTAAAAAAAAAAAAAAAAAAAAGAAGTGTCTCCTTCCCTGCCCTCAGCTTTCTCCAGTCAAATCCCTTCTGCACCCCTCTCCCAGGGTCCCAGGACCCCCACCAGCCACGGCCACTCTGATCCTCACCTACCACCCGGAAGATCATAGAGGTGGAATGGTCACCCAGGGCATTGCTGGCCACACAGGAGTAGATGCCGGCGTCCTGGAAGCCCACGTCATCAAGGTTGAGGGTCAGCACTTTATGGTAACGGTTGTCGCGGAAGTCGGATTGTTGAGAGACTGTTGTAAGCTGTAGGCAGGAGTGGAGAGGGCACACCAAAAGATCTGGGTTCAAACCCTCAGGCTGTAAGGATTAGCGTCTGCCTGTTCTTGGGCAAGGGACTGAACTCTGAGCCTCAGTTTTTTATCTGTAAAATGGGACTAATGCCGGCCTCCTGCCCCTGGACAGTGGGTAGAAAATGAGGTGTGTGCGCAAATGGCTTCGGGCTGTGCCAGGCACACTGTGGGCTCAGCGGGAAGGAAGGGGTTTCTAGAAGCAGCCTAGTGCCAGTCTGTCCTGGGACTTGTCCCTCCTCCTCCTTCTCTCCCACAGTCTTTCTGGTAAAGCCCTGTGTCTCGGGCTTTGAAGGTGGCCTAGAAACCCCCTGCTATGATAGGAGTGAGCTGACATCTGGCTCTTATCTACAAATGGGGCAAAGGTCATGGGTCAAGGGGTAGCCTACCTTCCCCCACCCACCCCTCCCGCAAGAGTCAGCATCCTAGCTCTGAGTCAGCTCCGTACGGACAGAGTGCGGGTGGGCCTATGCTGTGCCCTCAGCCCAAGAGGTAGTTTGGGGTGGGCCTAGGGGCTCCACACTGTGGCCCCGGTGTGCTGGGAGGACGGGCAGCGTCACCGTGCTCCCCCGTGGACTGACCTTGGTGTCTCCGCGTTGGAGGAAGACGTCGAATTGTACGTCGACATTGCTGGCTGAGCACAGGATCTGAGCCGCCTCCCCCTGGATCCGCACCAGCTCTGCAGGCTCTAGTGTCAAGGTCGGGGGCCCTGGGAGGACTGAGACGGGGAGAGATCCCTGAACGCCTGGGCTGGAGCTCTACCACACTCCCACATCAAACCCTGGGAGACAACCTTGATGCCTCAATTTGCCCCAGAACAAGTCCTTTGTCCCAAAGAGACCATAGCAAGTCCATTTTCTACCTCAGTGCCCCCAGTTCCACCACTATCCTCTGCTCTGGACTTCACTAGCAGCTGCCTCGAAGGCCTCCCTGCCTCCTCCACCCCAAAGCCTAGACTGTTCACAGCAGCCAGAGTGACCTCTTGAAACTATCTCCCAGCCGAGTGCAGTGGGTGCAGGTGGAAGGGTGCTGCTGTATGATACCAGGGCCACCTGGGAGGCCTGGGTTCGGGTCTCGGGTCCCCTGAACATGCTGGGTGCAAACTGTGCTCCTGGCTGGCAGAGAGGCTGGGGCAGAGTCGGGGCATGGTGAGACCCTGTCGCGGGTACCTGACTTTCTCTCTCTCTCATGAAATAAACATTTATATAAATGTCCGCCTTTCTCCTGTTTACAGTGACTTCCCATCACCCTCAGAGTACGGGCTGAAGTCCTGCTCCTGACACCCGAACACTAGCCACCCTTTGCTCACTGAGCTGCACCCACAAGGGCCTTCCTCCCCACTGCAGGTGGCCCCCACCTTTCCCTCTCGAAAGGCTTTTCCTTCATTTTTTTTTTCTGCTATAGGGCACGTGCGCTTGCCAGACAGACAGAGAGAGACAGAGAGACAGAAAGCGAGAAATCACCCCCCAGGGGGGATGGTCACGCCGCAATCCCTTCTCCTCCATTCTCCTCTCGGGATCTTGGGCACGCACGCACACGCGCCCGGCGTGAGTTTTAAGGCACCAGGTCCAGGACACGAACCGCGGTCGACTACGTGGGAGTCCAGCGACATAGCCATTACGCTAACTGCTGGTTCCTGGCTTTTCCTTCCACACTTTGCATGGGTGGCTGTTCTCAGCCTTCAGATCTTTATCTCAGAAAGTCCTCCATTACCAGCCTAGCTAAATGAACGCCACCACCACCCTCCTCAGCCCAGGAAACACGCCCCGCTTTCTCCAGCTCGGTCTCTTGTTCATCACAGTCTGTACTGACTCTCTGCCTAGTCTGACTTTCCAACGGATGTCCACTCCCAACAACTGCTAGCCGGTGCCGACACAGTGGGCACTGAATAATATTGTGCGCGGGTCTATCTAATCTGTTTTCCCAAGGCCCAGAGGACTCGCTCGAGGTCACTGAGGGGGTCGTGAGAGAAGCGGGGCCGAGGGCCCTGGCGCTCAGCCAGCTCAGGGCTCTGCAGACACAGCACCAGAGAAGAGCCCTAATGGGCGCCTCTGTCCATCACAGCCAGGACTGTGATCACCAGGGCAGGTGATGTGGCCTCAGACCCCAGGGGCACTGGGCCAGCACTCCACTCTGATTCTGGCCCTCATGGCAGACACCAACCCCTGAGCCTTGGGCCTGGCTTGCTCACCAGCCTCCTGGAAACCAGTCCTGCCTGTCTTCCCAGCCGGATGTGGACTGCTACCACTGCCACCCACAGTGAGAGCTGTCCCACGTGCCCACCACCCCTCTGTGGTTGCCCAGTGCCCAGCATGAAGCCAGAATGAGCAGGAAATCCACATCTGAATGTTTGGGGGAGCTTCAGGCCCGCCTTCTAGTCCTGGACATTCGGAGCCTGTCCTCTGCCCCCAATACCACGTCCCACTTGCTGTTCCCCCTGCTGGGGCAGCTCTGTGCTGTCGGTTCCTTCATCTTGTCTACACTTCCGCCCCCCCCCCCAACCCCCCTTGCCCAGCCCCCTAGAAGATCGAGGACAACCAGAAGGCGAAAGTGCTGGAAAGTGTCATCTGTGACCTGCCATGAGGCCATGAGGCCCAGCTCCCAGGATGGCTGCCAGTCCCTGCCGCCCTCCTTGCCTGGCCCGCCCGCCCTGCCCTCACACCTTTCTTCACTGTGAGCCGGATGCCCATGGACGACCGCGTCTCGCCGTTCACCAGGGCGTTACATTGGTACATGCTGCTCTCAATGAACTTGGCCTTGTGGATGGTGAAGCCGTACCAAGCGGAGAAGGAGTAGTTGGTTTGGCGCATGACGGGCCGGCCACGTATGCGCTTCAGTGAGACGCCCGCCTCCAGGGCCGGGTCGGTGAGCAGGCAGGGCAGCAGCGCATCCTGGCCCTCGAACACTGTCACCTCCTGTGTCAGCACGTTCCAGGGCCGGACAGGGTCTGGGGCAGAGGAGTGTACAGGGTTATGACTGCCCTCCCTCCAACCGATTCCTGGGCATTGGTGACAAGGAGGCTCAGAGAGGCTAGTCATTTCCCTGAGGTCACACAGTACCAGGGCAGTTCAGCTGGCGCTTCAGAGTGGGAGTTCTCGAGTCAGATGCGCCCGGACTCTGTTCCTGCCACTCGTGGGTGCTGGGTGACTCGGCCCCTCTGAGTGCCTGGAAAATGGCAGTCACAGTGCCTACTTCATAGGTTACTGTGAGGGCTGCTGCTGGCAGTCCCTGCTCCTGGCAGTCCCTGCCCTCGGCTCACACACGGGAAACGAGAAGCCTGTTTGCTACGCTCATTCACAAGGGCCCAGCCTCCTGCCCTTCGTGGTGGGGCCTGTGGGCCAGGCCCCTCGTGCGGGTCTCGGTCAGAGCCCTTACCTTTGACGTAGACGTGGATGGCAGCACTGCCCCCCAGGGGGTCTCCAGCTTCAGTGCAGCGGTAGGTCCCCGTGTTTTGGAAGGTGGCGTTGTTCGTGGTCAGGATGCTGTTAGGGGTGTCAGGGTCCAGGGTCCAGTGTGGGGAGATGGGGCCATCCCACTCCACGCTGCCATTGCCCACGCACCGCAGGGTCACCTTTACGCCTGGCTCCACCACCAGCTCACGGACACTGGGCTCTATCACTGGGACCCCCTCACCTGGTGGAGGAGGGGGATGAGAGACAGAAGTGAGGCCTGGGGCGCATCTCCTGAGTCGCCTGCTGAAGTGGGTGGCACCCTGGCAGGGAGGCTGACCCTGGGGGTCACCCTGAGCAAGGCCCTGCTGCTCTGGTCATTCGCTCAGCTTTCAACCCCAGTTCTGCTCTGGGATAGATGGACATCTCTGACGTCTGGGAGCCTCTCTTCTTCTATTTATTTATTAATTTTTTTAAAAAGTATAAGCCAGAGGGCAGAGAGAGAGAAACAGAGAGAAAACTCTTCCTGGTGGGACATGGTCACACCAGGGTCCCTTCTCCTCCATTTCTCCATCCTATCAGGATTTGGGGCATACACGCCTGGTTTGTTTTTCAAGTTGGTAAGGCCAGCATTTAAGCCAAGTAGTCAGCCATGTGGGACCCTAACCACTAGGCCACAGGACTGGCCTTGGGAGGCTCTCTTCTGTAATGGGGTCTAGGAGCTTTCTCTGCTCCTACCCAGGTGTCTGATGGGTTCTCCCCAACCCCTATCTCAGTCTTCCCTGCCTTGACTGCGTCATTCATCTCCCAGGAGTGGACCCTTCAACTCCATGTACAGAGGGGACTGGGTGGGACTAGCCGATGTCGAATGGTTACATCTCTGGACTCCCGTGTAGTTGACTGCAGTTTGAGTCCTGGACCCAGTGGCTTAAAACTCATGCCAAGTGTGTGTGCGTGCATGTCCAATATCCCAAGAGGAGAGTGGAGGAGGAGGGACTGCAGCATGGCCATCTCCCCTGGAGGGTGATTTCTCGCTTTTTGTCTCTTTCTCTATCTCTCTGACAAACACATAAAAAAAAAAAATCTCTCTCTCTAAAAAAAGTAAATAAAGCAGAGGGGGCTGCGTTCTAGCACTGAGCCTGCACCTGGCTCAAAGCAGGGCCCAAACAAGCAAATGAAAGAAATGGGTGGAAGGTTCATGGCCAGGTCCTCGGATGTAATTCATGCAGGAAGGAAGAAGGGGCGCGTCGGCTCTTAGCCCCGCAGGTTGGGTTCCCAGGGCCTCCTGATGGCCCTCTCCCACTGTCAGACATCTTGGTCTGTCGCATAGTGGGATGGCTCAGGGACCTCACGCCTCAGTTTCCCACCTACAAACTAGGGCCGATTGGCATGTTAGGAAGTTTAAGTACGTAGAAACCCTTCAGAACATCCGCTGTCACCAAACAAGCACTCGGGGGCTGGCTTCCGGGCTTCCTGTCTAGTCTCCTGGCAGCCCATCCCAGGAGCCCACTCCGGTAGCCCACCCAGCACCCCAGCTCTGCCACATTTCCTAGGCAGCCAGTCTCTCTTAAGGAAAATTTTCTTGAAGGAGAAAAGAGAACTAGAAACCCCCATCAGGCCCTCCGGGAAGAGGCCCGTTGCCTCTGCAGTGTCAGCATTTTTCCCAAGCTCAAAATAGGGGCGAAGGAGGGAAGTGAGAGCTGATTCAAGGCCTCGGAGGGGCTGCCAGGCGCCCCCCAGCCTGTGTGGGCGGAAACACATTGCTGGCGCCCAGCTAGACCCGGTTTCCGCCCACCCTGCCTCCCTCCTACGAGGGATGGGATGTTCTTACTTCTGCTTCCCGGCCCTCCTGGCCACTGTCCCCTGTCTAGGAGGTGGGACCCCAATAGGAGGGCAGTGCCACCTGCCAGGTGTCTGGGCGCCCTGGGTTGTGAGGCCAGGCTCTGCCACCAAGCCTTTGACTGACCCTCTTCCCAGCCCTCGCTGTACCTGGTGATGGGAGCACAGCAGTCTGGCAGCCCCTTAAATCAGCAATTCTCCCACACTTTGCCTGCCCTAGGGCCCCAAATTGGGAAGCTTTTCTCTCTGAAATGATTGCAGGATGCTATTCACGATTTGATTTTGTACCCATCAGAAATGTGCAGCCTCTCTGGCCAAGCTTCTGAGCGGGACTCAGTAAGCTCTGACCATGGCCAGAGCGACACCTGGGGCTGTAGCCCCCTGTGCAGTGTGACTTCCAGGAAGAGGGGCCCATGTGGTTTCTTGCAGCCTTTTGGTAAATCTCAACCGAGCTGGCGCCACTCTATCACTGCTGCAGCAATCCAGGCCCCTGACTGGGGTTTATTGCAGGAAGCAACTCAGAGTGCAGCCGCACCCCAGTTTGGGCTTGGAGCTTGGTTCTCCTCTTCCAGTTGGGTAGGTTGCTTAACCTCTGTGAGCCTCAGCTCAGGCCACGCTTCCCTGTCCCACCCTGGAGAGGTCAGCTGAGGATCAGTGCGGTGGAACGCAAGAGCCACACTCCAATGTCCCCGCTGGGCAACAGACGCCCCTGTCTGAAGATGCGACCTTGGAGGTCCACAGGCTATGGCTGCCACACCCCGGCTTGAGTTCTGTGCTTCAGTGCCCTGTTTCTTTTCCGCACCTTCCTGGTCTTCCTTTTCCTCCCCCAGCCTGTCCCTCTAGGCCTGCCTTAGCCTCCTGGAAGTGTGGTCAGGGAGAAGTGACTGTCCTGTTCTGTCCTTTCCTGTTGTCCCGGATATTCAACAGAGGACACAGCTGACATCTCAACTTCTGCCGCCAACTTCCTCCTGCTGGACTGGCTAGCAGGAAGGGAAGCTTGCTCAGCCCTGTCCTCCCTGGGGTGGGGACGTGGGCTTGATGAACACTGACCACAGGGCCCTCCTACACCTGTCCACTCTCCACCGCTCTCATCGCTCCCAAATTTCCCCCACGCTCAAACCCCTCCATGCCTTCCGCTTGCCTAGCACCCTTCCACCATTGCCCACTCCCAGAATGTGCCCAGTCTCCACTTGTCCCCACCGCACATGCCAAGGCCTGGGGCACCGCCCCTCCGTGCCCAAGATCTCTGCACAGTGATGGGGAGAAGCGAGCCTTTCCTTGTCTTCAGGGTGCTCCAGCACCATCTCCAAGGCCCTCATGGCAGCCCCCCACTCACTCATCATGGGTGTGCTGGGCTGAAGCTCTGTCTCCCATCTCGTTTTTCCCTGGAGCTGAGCACTGGGCAAAGCCTCCCTTACACACACGCATGCACACACACATGCGTGCACATGCTTGTGTACACACACACACACACACACACTGCCCCGAGGGCAGCACAGGCAGTGAAATCAAACACATGGAACTTTCTGGGGTGAGCAGAATGGGCTCTGCCTTCATTGAGACCTAATGGGTACAGAAGTGCGTGTCCCTTTGTCATACCTCGTGGAATTGTACACTTAAGAATCCATGCTTCCTGCAGGAAGGAAGTCCTGCCTCAGTGAGGAAGACCAACACTCAAGCCGAATGGCTTTGCTCAGGTCAGAAACAAGCCTTCAGGGGCCATCTCCTCATCGGAGACCACACACAGACGCTCTCCCCAGGGTCCTCCTGTGCAGAGGCCAGAACGAGGCTGTCCTTTCTCGCCACCACTCTCCATCCTTGCCCAAAGACCCTCCTAGTAGGCAGGCACTAAAACATGAAATGTCTGTGTCCAGCCAACGCCGGCCCGTGTGTTTGTCGAGACGAGAGCCAAGCGCACCAGCCTCTCCCGTCTCGTCAGCCCCCTCCTAGGTGGAACTTCTGAAGTGTCCACTGCTGCCTGGCATGGAAGTGGGGGTCTCTCCCATTGAGCACCCCACACCCAAGACCTGCCGTCTGTGTCTAGGCGAACTCTGGCCAGAGATACTCTGCCGCTCGAATTCCTCTCTCCTGAGCCCAGGGCTAAGAGAGACCAATCTCTTATTTGTCCCTCTACTCTGCTACCCAGGCCTTCCAAGGCAGGCCCACTGTCCCTCTGGGCCTAAGTCAGGTTCTGCCTGGAATCGTGGAGTCATGGGCTGGCAGAACTGGCAGAGCTGGCAGAGCTATCAGGGGCTCTGGATGGCCTCTCTGTTCTGTGTGGGTCTGGACCAGCTGCATGGCCTCTGTTAGGAGCTGACTAGAAACAGAGCCTGGGCTGGCTCCCTGCGCAGCGGGAATGCACTCCTCAGTGCACCCCACACGGCCACCATGGTTGGAGCCCCCTGCCCAGTCAGCTTGAAACACTCTGATACATGCAAGGACTGGAGGGAGGCAATCAGGGTGACCCGACCCTGCAGAGAGCACACAGGTCTCTCCCTGTCACACATGTGCACATACTCTTAGCAGGGATAAAGATGGAAATGCAGAATCTAGGGTCACACCTGAGACTTGCCGAGCCAGATCTGCGCTGCAGCAGATCCCAGGAGATGAGTGCTCACGGTGAAGTTGGGCTGCATTATTCTGGTCTAGTCCGCCACCACCCGGACACCTGCCATTGACTAGGTGTGGACACCAGTACCCTGAGAATGCCAGGGATTAGTACAGGATCCGCCGCGACTCAGCAGCTAAGCCAGGACAGATCCTCAGCCCTGGCTGGACCAGTGCTGCCCTCCGACCCCCTCTCCTTCCACTGCCTTCCCTGGACACATACCCACACACCAGTGCCGGGGACATAGAAGCACATCGGGGACACCCACTGGGGAGCAGGGCTCACAGGGACCCTCTCTGGGACACCCCCCACCTCAGCCCCCTGTTCTGCTCTTACCAGGCCATGCCGTGATGAGCAGTAGGGCTAGCAGAGACCCTGGGCCCATGGCCTCAGTGGGGAAGCTGCAGGCTGCTTCAGGGCTGGAGAGAGCAGGGCACTGGTTCCCAGTTACAAGGCTGCAGGAATCCCACAGGGATCAGACCGCGAGACACACGCTCCTCTCCTCTGCGCTGGCTGTTTGTCTTGTTTTCCTCTTCCTCCTTCTCCTCCTCCTTGAGCTGATCCCCTTCTTCCCCTTTTAGCTAGGCAAGGCAACCACAGAGTTTGGAAATCTTGGGTCTTTAGAAGAAAACAAAGCCATGACCCCCAAGGGGAGGAGTTGGAGTCTGGGGCAGGGCCAGCCTGAGCCTGGAGAAACTGGCCAGGTTTGGAGTCCTGGGAGAGGGACACGTCCCAAGATCAGGTGGATGGTCAGTCAGTAGCATGAACAAGGGTCTTCAGAGATCCAGGCAGCTCTGGAGGAGCCACACGAAAAGTTATGTTATTCAGGAGGGTCTGATAATAATGTCAAGAAACTCCCATGGCTTTTGGGGCAAGGGACACACCACCCCAAAATATGACTACAGAAGACCAGACTATGCCACCCCAAAATAGACTTCTTTGGCATCTTTTGAGCTGGTTATTCTGAGATAGGAATAGATAGACACAGGAATAGATCTGAAAGATTGTCTTTTGAGAAAGAAATTTACATCGCTAAAGGAAGTCTACATGAGTAAGATATTTGTATCGGAGAGAGGGCTACTCTCTCTCTTTTTTAAAAAAAATATGCTAATGGGTGTGTATACTTGCCCAGGAGAGAAAGAGAGAGACAGAGAAAAATAAAGAGAGAGGAAGTGAGAAAGCACCTTCCGGGGGGATGGCTAGGCCATACTCCCTTCTCTATTTCTCCTCTCAGGATTTTGGGCACACATGCACAGATGCCCAGTGTGTTTTTCAAGCCACCAGGTCTGAGACTCGAACTGTGCAGTTGGCCATGTGACACAGGAATAGATCTGAAAGATTGTCTTTTGAGAAAGAAATTTACATCGCTAAAGGAAGTCTACATGAGTAAGATATTTGTATCGGAGAGAGGGCTACTCTCTCTCTTTTTTAAAAAAAATATGCTAATGGGTGTGTATACTTGCCCAGGAGAGAAAGAGAGAGACAGAGAAAAATAAAGAGAGAGGAAGTGAGAAAGCACCTTCCGGGGGGATGGCTAGGCCATACTCCCTTCTCTATTTCTCCTCTCAGGATTTTGGGCACACATGCACAGATGCCCAGTGTGTTTTTCAAGCCACCAGGTCTGAGACTCGAACTGTGCAGTTGGCCATGTGGGATCCAGCCACCCTAACCACCATGCCACCTAGCTGGCTCCTTTTTATTATTATTATTGTTACCCAAGAGATTGTGTCTGTATAACAAGATGACCCTTACTCATCCATGAGTCTTCCCCTCACCCTCCTATAATTTGTATGCCAGCCCCTGCCCCAGAAGCCCCAAGCCCTTATTCCTTTCTGTATCTTGGAATGCTTCAAACATCTGATCCTTCAGACTGTGGGGGACTGCTGAGGGTGTACAGAATTAAAATGGATATTTTCCCCTGTTAATCCGTTTTACATCAATTTAACTTGTGGCCCAGTCAAAGAACCTAGAAAGGTGGAGGGAAGGCATTTTTTTCTCTCTCTCCTCCAGAGTACTCTTACCATTCCCATTGCACAGATGGTCCAATGCTGTATTGGAGAACCTAGACAGTGTATGGCCAGAAGAGAAAATAAAAGACATACAGATTTAAAAGGAAGAAATAAAGCTATCTCTATCTGGAGATGAAATGATTGTCTTCAATGAAACCACCAGAAGAAATTTACTAGAAATATTAAGTAAGTTTAATGAGATCATAGGATACAAGTTCAATATATATAAATCAATAAAATTAAAACTGGAATTTATTTTTAAAAAGTACTATTTAAGTACCAGCAGATGGTGTGATGGTTATGTCACTGGACTCCTATATAGTAGACTGCGATTTAAGTCCTGGGCCCAGTGGTTTAAAACTCATGCTGGGCACCTGTACATGTGTGCCCAAAATCCCAAAAGGAGAATGGAGGAGAAGGGATTGTGGCATGGCCATCCCCCAGGACGGGTGATTTCTCACTTTCTATCTCTCTGTCTCTCCAGTGAGTGCATGTGCTCTATAGCAAAATATTTCTATAAAATAAAATATTTATAATAACACCAAAAATACCATGAAATATTTAGGTATGAATTTTACTAAATAGTATAAGACCCATATACTCTGCAAAACATTGAGGAAAGAAATTGAAGAAGACCAAAATAAATGGTGAGATATACCATTTTCATGGATTGGAGGATTAAATTTTTTTTAGAATTATTTACTTAATTTAATTTATTATTATTTAATTTGTATTTAACAGAGAAAGAGAGACAGAGAGAGAGAAAGCAAGATACTGGATCTGGTACCTGAACTGCAGTAGGCTATGTGGGAGTCTAGAGCCTTAACCACCCTGCCACCTGCTGGCCCCAAGGCTCAATATTCTTAAACATATAAGTTCTCCCTGAGCTGATCTACTAGTTCAACAAAGTTCCAATCAAAATCTCAACAGAAATTTTTGTAGAAATTGACAAATCAATTCTAAAATATATATGGGAGGGCTAGCAGGTGGTGTAGTGGACAAGGCACTGGACTTCCACATGGTCGACTGCAGTTCAAGTCCTGGACCTGGTGGCTTGCTTTCTCACCTTCCTTCTCTCTCTCTCTCTCTGTGTCTCTCTCTGGTGAGCATGCATGCCCTACAACAAACTAACAATAATAAAATTAAAATAAACGAAATGTTTATGAGAACATGGAGGAAGTAGAATAGCCACAGCTTTTTAGGAGGAGGAGAACAAAGTTGAGGTACTTTTACTACCTGGTTTATAGACTGTTACAATGTTACAATATGATATTGGAGAAATGATAAATTGTATACATGTATAAATTATATACATGCACACCCATGGAGCAGAAATAGCCGACATATATGTGCTCAATGATACATTTATATATATATATATATACACACACACACACACATATATATATACATACATATATATGAGTGTGTATATACACACAGGCACACACACATATGTATACATTTCCTTTATGAGAAGGAGAGAGTGAGAGGGATAAAGAGAGAACAGAGATAGGCATTTTTTGATAACTATAGATATTTATGTCTATTTTGGCATTTTGACAGAGTCTCACCATATCTCTATTCTCCTGCCCCAGTCTCCCACTTAGCTAGGATTTCAGATGCATACAATCACATCTGGTGTGTTCAGGTTGGACCAGAAACCCAATCCAGCTCCAAGTGGTGATGCTACCTGTGGGCTACTGTGACTGGGCCTGGTCAACTGGTTCTCATCAAAGGTGCAAAGGTAATTCAACGAAGAAAGCATAGTCTATCCAAAAAATGGTGCTGGAGCAATTGGATATCCACATATAAAAACACAATAAGATGAAGATAAAACAAACATTGAAAACCTTGATCCAAACAATAAGCCCTATAAAAATTATCTCAAAATGGGTTAAATACTTAAATATAAAGCCATGCATACAACTATTACAAGAAAGAGCATATTTGTGACCAGAGACTTTGAAGATTAGGAAAAGAATTGTGTTGTTTTGTTTTTAATTTGCTAGAGGGTGTGCATGCTTGCCAGAGAGAGACAGAGAGAAGGAGAGAGAATAGGACAAAGCACTTTCCAATGGGGCATGATCATGCCCCAGTCCCTTCTTTTTTTCCCCATCCTGTCAGGATTTTGGACACATGTCCACATGAACTTGGCATAGTTTTCAAGCCACTGAGGAAGAATTTGAACCACACAACTGGCCATTGAGATCTGATACCCTTAACCACTAGGCCACAGGACTGGACCAAGAGGCAATATCTAATGTCTTTTTTATAAAGGACTTATTTCCAGCATACATAAAGAACTTTCAATACATAACAAGAAAAGAAATAATTCGGGTACGGCAGGTGGCATGATGGCTAAGGGCGCTGGACTCTTACATGGCCGACCATGGTTCGATTCCTGGACCTGGTAGCTTGCTTTCTCACTTTCTCTGTTTCTCTCTCTCTCTCTCTCTCTCCTCCTCTGTCCCTTTCTGGTCAGATTAAAATAAATAAATTAAGTTTTTTTTTATTTTACAAAAAGAAAAAAAACTTAATAGGTATAATCAAGGGACCAGCAGTTGGCATGTCACTGGACTCTCATATAGTCGACCACAGTTTGAGTCCCGGATCCGGTGGCTTAAACTCATGCCAAGTGCATGTGCGTGCATGCCCAAAATCCTGAGAGGAGAATGGAGGAGTAGGGATTGCAGCGTGGCCATTCCCCTGGGGGGGGGGGGCGTGATTTCTTGCTTTCTGTCCCTCTGTCTCTTTCTGTCTTTCTGGTGAGCGCATGTGCCTTATCGCAAAAACCTCTCCAAAAAAAAAGGGAAAGAATATAGATATAATTGAGACATTTGAACAAAGATATAGAAGTACAGATACACAAATGGCAAGTAAGTACATCAAAAGATGATGGAGGGAACCAGCAGTTAGTGTAATGGCTATGTCGCTGGACTCCCACGTAGTCGACCGCGGTTCGCGTCCCGGACCCGGTGGCTTAAATCTCACGCCGGGCGTGTGTGCGTGCGTGCCCAAGATCCCAAGAGGAGAATGGAGGAGAAGGGATTGCGGCGTGACCATCCCCCCTGGGGGGTGATTTCTCGCTTTCTGTCTCTATGTCTCTCTCTGTCTGTCTGGCGAGCGCACGCGCCCTATAGCGAAAACCTCTCCAAAAAAAAAAAAAAAAAAAAAAAAAAAAAAAAAGATGATGGACATCAACTTGTTAGGAAAATACAAATGAAAGCCATAACTATATTCTATTACATATTTATTAGGATAGCTAAAACCAAAAACAACCTAACAACCCCAAGTCCTATTGAGGATGAAGAGCAAGCTGCTAGAACTCATATATAAACACACATGGTGGTGGTGAAGATGCAAAATGGTACAGTCATTTCAGAAATAAGTTCAACAGTTTCTTATAAAGTTAAAAAGAAAATACATATAATCCAGTAATCCTGTTTCTAGGTATCCCAAGTGATATGGAAATTTATAGTCACACAAAACTCTCCACATAAACATTGATAGCAGCTTCGTTTGTAATCACTTCACTCTGGAAACAACTCAAATGTTCCTTAGCT